TGCAAGGCTTTACAGAGGCATCTCGAGTTCACTGAAATGTCATCTTGTCATGCGACAGTTGAATATACTTTCAAATATTATGAAAACCAGCCTTGTGGCTCTCCTGACTCTATTCACTTTAGTTCATAGACAAAACATGGGTCAGCTGTGGTTGGAAGTCTTTGGATGCTGACAAAGCAATGTCAATCCTAGATCACAGGCTTCAAGCTGGGAAAAAGCTGAGGCATCTCATCCAGCCTTTTCATTCTAAAGGCGAGGAAAGAGAAGCCCAGAGAAGTTATCACACAGATGAGAAGCAGAAAAGGCGGGACCATGGGATCATGGATCCAGAGCTGGGAAGGCCCTCAGAGATATCTAGTCCAACTTCCTCATTTCACAAATGGGGAAACTGAGGACCAGGGAGATTAAGAAAATCAGGCCAAGTCACTCTAGGTAGCAAACAGCATGGGATCCGAACCTATGTCTTCTTACTCCAATGTTCTTTTTACCACACTATGCTGCCTCTCCAATCAAATCAAAATGGCACAGGCCAAATCAATAGCATCTTGTTCGATTTCGGGGAATTTCTTAGAGGATTCTGGTAGCTCAAAAGGGGAGCTGTTATCTCTAAGGCCAATTGCAATCAGGCTTTTTGGAGCCATCATTTTGGCTCCTGATAGTTTTCTTCAAAACTCCCTTGTCCTGCCAGAAAAACCCCAGTTAATTTGCTCTTGCAGAAGTGCATTTAGAAAACATTTGCCACAAGTAAATGCTCCAGATGGTTTCTGACACATAATAATAGGAAGTATTTTTACATATTAAAAATAAAAGCACTTTTAGACTTCACCAAGTGCTTTTCTCAAAACAACAAGAAACAAGTATTATAATCATCCCCATTTTACAGAGGAGGCCACAGAGGCTCTGAAGTAACTTACCTTGAAAGGGCCTGTAACTAGCAGCAGGCAATACTGGGATTTGGAGCTGGGTCTCCAAACTGCAGGCCCAATTCTCTTGCCTCTTTATCATCCTATCTACTCTTTTCTAATAAAAAAGATGTGGTTTTAAGAAAGGTCACTCCACTGCCCTACTACACAAGACAAACGAGGAAATGTTTAATCTAATATTATTTCTAAATATCAGTTAGACCTTATAAGGTAGTGAGTTCTCTTTCCTTGGAGATCTTTAAGCAAAGACTGAATAACCATTTGTTGGGGATGTTACAGAAAGGCTCTTGGTCTGGTACAATTTGGACTCAGTGGCTTCTAAAAACCCTTCTAACTCTCAGACTCTGGGATTCTGGGATTAATTTGGCAGAAAAGACAGTATTATATAATAGAAACAGCAAGGAACATGGAGTCAAGGGAGCTGGGTTCAAATCTCTGCTCTGATATGCGCTAACTGTGGGATCATGGGAAAATCATTTCACCCTCTACACCTCTTTCCCTCACTGGTAAAATGTACCAATTAGCTACCAGCTGTCGAACCCTGGGTGTGACAGTCTCTGGGCCCCAGGCAACCCTTTAAGACTATAAATGACAGGTGAATGGTTGATCTGCCTTGGTGGAATGAATTTCCACAATGGGAGTTCTGGAATCACAGAATGAGATGCCATCCTTCCCTCCCACTCTTAGCAAAGAAAGAAGATGTAAAAAAATGTAAAGCACTAGCTTTACAGAGAGAGAATCTGATTCATCTCCCACCCCTGCTGCTCACTACCCAGGCAACTTTGGAGGTATCTTTCAACTTCCCTGGGAATCAATTTCCTCATCTGTAAAATAAGAGGACTGGACAAGATGGCCTTTAAGGTCCCTCCCAGCTATGGAGCGATGATTCTCTGACCTGGGTTCAAATGTTACCTCTGATGCTTACAATCTGTGTGACTTTGGTCAAGACTCTCAACCTTTTTGGGTCTCAGCTTCTTCATCTGTAAAATGGGCCTATTATGATGGTTACTGCAACATATTATATGAGTAACATCATTGTTATCACAATAATCAACCAATAAGCATACCCTGTATATGCAGATCACTCTACCACATAGATAAAATACTTCCACCAATTACTCTGTTCTTTATAATGATTATTTATTCCCTCCCACACTTTTAAAAAAAAGCAAGAAAACATTAAAAAAGAAAAAAGAAAGAAAACATTTTAAAAAAGGAAACATTAAAAAAAGAAAAAAGAAAGCCAACCTTACTATGCCTTCTTAGCACTTAGGTTTCCGAGGCCTGCAGATCCTGAAGGTTCTCTGTTATTGGTCGATTTAGAGTTTCTGGAAGAAGTAGATCCAAGAATCCTGCTGACAGCCCACTGATGCCAAACACCACAAAGGGGACAGATGGGCTGATAGATTTCTGGAATTGTAAATGTCAGTGGTTGAAATGACCAATTTTTTTTTCACACCCTTCATACTGTTCTTTCAAGACTCTGAAATTCATTTTCAACCTCACTGAGTCATCTACCATAAATAAAGGCAGTCCTCTCAGCGCTCCACAAAGTCAATACACAGAAAACTGTATTTCATAAATCAGTTCACATTTCACCCCAAAGCCAAACTTCTCCGACATGTGAGTACAAGAAAAGACCAACTCCAAAGAGGAAAATTTAAGAAAATATAAGAGGCTTCATAAAGACTTGAGTTCAAATCAGCATTGCCAGTGGAGGCCTCCATTTCACCATCAGTAAAATAAGGAAGCTGAGTTAACTGGCCTCAGAGATCCCTTCTTGCTCTAAGATCCTACCCACAAACAAAGGGTTACAAATATCTGTCATTTCCTCAGCACTATAAACTTTGCAAGGTGCTTTACATACATTATATAATTTGAACCTCACAACCACCCTATGAGACAGGCATTAATTTCTATAGTTGACAACTGAGGAAGCAAAGGGTCAGTGACTTGCCCAAGGTCACACAGCTGGGCCCATCAGAGGTAGGTTTGAAAGCAGGTTTCTCCCAGCTCCAAATCCAACATTCCTTGCACCGTCCCATGTGGCCATTCAGTCAGGAAGGATGATTTTATAAGATATTTATGATAAATTTTACATTCTTTGGGATTTGAACAGAAGCATGTCTTGGAGGTAGATGACTCATCTTTTTACAAGTGCACTTTTTTCATCGATGAAACATTTTTAAAATACATAAATGAGACCAGCAAAAACAGGTGAGTAGAACAAGGATAGAGATACCATTTTTAATTTACTGTATACTTTAAAAAAAAAAAACAGCTGGGGGCAGCTAGGTGGTGCAGTAGATAGAGCACCAGACCTGGATTCAGGAGGACCTGAGTTCAAATTCAGCCTCAGACACTTGACACTAGCTGTGTGACCCTGGGCAAGTCACTTAACCCCATTGCCTAGCCAAAAAAAAAAAAAACAAAACCAAGCTGTATGTAACAGGGATTCATAATTTGACATGCAATCCTTTTTCTGAACTCTCTATCTGATCTGTTCACATGTGTTACAGTTTGTCAAATTCATAATAATAATGATGAATTTTTAAAAGTGCTTTTATAAGACAACAGTCAGAGAAAACTTTACAAAACTTCACTTTATAGTGTTATAAAAATACTAGTTGTTATTAATGCTAGTAATTTTATAGCACTATACTAAGCCCTTTACATATATATTCTCATTTGATGTTTACAACAACCTTAAGAAATAGGGGCTATTATTATCCCCATTGTACTGTTGAGGAAACTGAGGCAAAGAGATCTGCCCATGGTCACATAGCTAGTAAATGGCTGAGGCTACATTTGAACTCAGATCTTCCTGACTCCTGATCTAGATCACCTTGCTGCTTAAGAAAAAGTGAAGATTTTAAAATCTCAATTTCAAATTCAAATGTCAGTGTGATTTCATTGGTGCAAGGGAATTCATTTTCTTCGACAACACAACCATCTTCATCTTAAAGTCTTAGGGAGCTTCTTGAGGTTCAGAGAAGTTAGGTGATTTGCTCATGATCACACAGCTAGCAAGTATCAGAGACAGAATTTGAACCCATGTATTTATTCCTGAGTCTAGCACTCTCCCCTAAGCCAAGCCGCCATACCTACAAATACCTCAGTAACTGTCTCTAAAATAAAAACAAAAACAAAAATCGAACTCACCATGGTGGGTACAAAAGGAGCCAATATACCACCAAGTCTGCAAGTCATTGAACAGACCCCTAGGCCAGCGTTCCTTTTAAGACAAAATCAGAGAAGTGATCGTAAGTCATAAATAACAGGCACAAAAGTCAATCCCGGAATCTAAACATATTGGCCAGAGATCCACCACATGGGGTAAATCCAGGGCAGGAGTCCTTAACCTTTGTTGTATCATGGATCCCTTTGGCAGCCTTGTGAAGCCTACAAACCCTACATAGAATTGCCTACATTAATAATTAAAAGAAATGATTTTTTTTTTTACAGCTCCTGGTTTCATTTATTAATTCTTTTTTCCCCCCAGTTTTGTTACTCTCTTCTTTGATTTTCAAGATTTATCTTTTGGTGTTGAGAGTTTAACAATTAGTTGTTTTTTTAATATTTTTAGTTATATTCCCAATTCATTGAAATATTCCTTCTCTTTTTAGTTAGTAAAATAATTATAGACATATTTTTCCATGAAAGACTACATTGTTTCATCACCAAAATTTTAGAATGTTCCCCATCAGGAATCTTTAATGAAATTATCTATCATTTCCCTAATTTGTTTTTTGACTCAACAATTCCTTAAGTCAGTTAGCCTCCAAATTATTTTAATACTATTCAGTGATCCTTTATGTAATATAATTTTTATTTCATTGTGATTAATAAAGAATTTACGTAGTAAAAAAAGAAATACTAAATTTTAGTTCAAGTTTAGTAAAAATAAAGATGTAATTTCTTCCCCATTCAAGTTCATGGACCCCCTGAAATTGATCCATGGACCTGGACCCTGGATTAAGAAACCCTGATCAAGGGTACTGGAATCCTGGGAGCCCAGGGTCATTTGGTGATGGGGAAAGAGAAGACGTGGCAAATGCCTAAAAAGATCCCAGGATTTTAGATTTGAAGAAACCTTGAAGGTTATTGAGTCCCTCATTTGGCTGATGAGAAAAATGAAGCTGAAAAATCTTAAGTGACTTTCCTTAGGTCACCCAGGATACAGTATGCACAAAGTCAGAATTAGAACTCAGGTCTTTTGACTCCAAACAATTCCTATCCCGTTTTGTTTGTTTGTTTCTTTGCTTGCTTATGGGTTAGTTAGTTGGTTGGTTGGTTGGAAAAGACAGTAGTGAAAAGCGTTTGGATCACTGATTTCATCTAGGTACAGGGCTACCAATGTGAAAATTCGCTCACATAAGAATTGTATTTTAAAGATCAGTGAATACTCCTCAAGGGTTTCCGAGTATAGAGCCCACTGTGGAATTCAGAACCCCTACCCTTCCACAGTCATTCACTCAAGTATTTCATTTGCTCATTAATCCCCATGTGCCTCATACTATGCCAGGCGCTGTAGGAGTTTACACGTGAAATATAAACCACAGTTTATACATAGGTGACCTGCCTGGGGCCACACTGAGGCTGGATTCTAACTTTTCCTCACTCCAAGTCCAGTACTCCGTTTTTGTTCGGTCTTTTACAGTCAGGTCCCACTCTTTGGGACCCCATTTGGTTTTCAGGGCAAAGATACCAAAGTGGTTTGCCATTTCTCTCTCTAATGTGCTCTATCCACTGGTATTTTCAAAAATGATATAAAAATTGCTGGTGATTATATAGTTCTTTCTATAGATTATCCATTTAGGGTCTCACAATAACCCTGTAAGGCAGGTGTTATTATTATCTCATTTTACAAATGAGGAAACCGGGCTAAGGAGAGATTGAGTCATTTGCCAGGGGTCCCAGATCCTAGAAGAGGCTGAGGCAGGATTCTGAAGCCCCAAGCCTCCCCACGGCACCATCTAGCAGCAACTCACCTAAAAGCCAATTTGATGAAGAAATCTAATGCTCATTCTGAGAGGATAAAAAGATAAATGGCAGGTATATATATATATCAGTGCTAGGTACAGTGGGATGAAGAAGGTAAGAGATGGGAGGGATGAAGCTGCCTCTTGAAGACAACTTATAAAATACATGAGGTCTATTAAGAAAAGACAAAAACTCAGAAAGACAATATTGGAACGTCACTGTACATGTCTGGAGGGCAGGGATTGTTTCATTTTGTCTCTCTTTTATGCCTAGTGCCTAGCACAGTGTTGGGCTTGCAGTAAACATTTAATAAATACTTACTGAATTGAATGTCCTTCCTCACCCCATCCCCCAACAGACTAAGCTTTATGAATGTTTTACCTAAACTTTGTTATTTCCCCTAGAATTGATTATAATGTTCTGTTCACAGTAATACATAATAATATTAATAAATAATAAACATTATTTATTGAGTTGAACTAAAGTACAAATCTGGCCTCAGACACTTACTAGCTGTGTGACTCTAGGCAAGTTATTTAACCCTGTTCGCCTCAGTTTCCTCATCTCCACCCTGGAGAAGGAAACGGCAAACCACTCTTGTATCTTTGCCAAGAAAACCCCAAATGAGGTCACAAAAAGTCAGACATGACTGAAAAATGACTAAACAACAAAAAAGTAAAAATCATGAAGGATATAGATGGAACAAACACAGACTGTAGCAGAGGAGCCCAATCCTCTGACCCCTGAATGAGGAAGCTTAGGGCAAATAAAATGAAATACTGAGAAGACAGAATAGATCAGAGGACCTGAGTTCAAATCTCAGCTTTGCTGCTTTCCACCTATGTGATCCTTAAGTAACCACTTCTCTCTGGACCTCGATTTCTTCCTCTTAAAAATGAGGAAATTGGCCCTTTGACCCAGCAATAGCACTTCTGAGGCTGTATCCCAAAGAGATCATATAAATGGGAAAAGGACCCACATGTACAAAAATGTTTATAGTAGCTTTTTATGGTAGCAAAGAATTGGAAATTGAGGGAATGCCCATCAATTGAGGAATGGCTGAACAAGTTGTGGTATATGAATGTGATGGAATACTATTGTGCTATAAGAAATGATGAGCAGGCAGACTTCAGAAAAACCTGGAAAGACTTGTATGGACTGATGCTGAGTGAAGTGAGCAGAACCAGGAGAACGTTGTACATAATAACAGCCACATTGTTCAATGACTAATATTGATAGACTTGACCCTTCTCAGCAATACAAGGATCTAAGACATCTCCAAAGGCCTCATGATGGAAAATGCTATCCACATCCAAAGAAAGAACTATGGAGTTTGAACGCAGATTGAAGCAGACTATTTGCTATTTTTTTCTTCTGTTTTGTTTTGTTTCCTCTTTCTGGTGGTTCCTCCTATTAGTTCCAATTCTTCCTTAAAACATCACGAATGTGAAAATATGCTTAATAGGAATGTATATGTATAGCCTATATCAGATTGTGCACCATCTTAGGGGGGTGAAGGGGAGAAAAATGTAAAACTCAAAAGCTTATGGAAGTGATTGTTGATAATTCAAAATAAATTAATAAAAAAAATGAGGAGACTGGGACTAGATCAGAAGTTAACCTTTTATTGACCTCTTTTGTATCATGGAACCCTTTGGCATTCAGGTGCTGCCTATGGATCCTTTCTCAGAATCATGTTTATAAATGCAGAGAATTACATAAGCTTACAAAGAAAACCAATTCTACTGAATTGGTTCACCAACTGAAATACAGTTATCAAAATATGAAGAAAAAAAAACAAATTTAAAGACAGGTTGAAGAATTTCTGGACTAGATGATCTCAGTTTTAAATCCTGTAATCCTACAGACTTTAAATAGAAGTTAGTAAATTTAGGTTTATTCCCAGAGTCAGAAGTTGAAACACATTCCTGGTGAAAGATTCATAATAGATTAGGTGAAACTCAAAAGTCTGGGCAACATCTCTAACCCGTAAAGAGTGACATAGGGAGCTACATCCTTCAATTCAATTCAATTCAATCTGTTTCAGTTCAACCCAATGGTCATTTATTAAGTGTCTGCTGTGTTCCAGACACTGTCAGACACCAGAGATACAAAGAAAGACCAAAAAAAAAAAATGTTTCTGGTCTCAAGGAGCCTCCTGAAAGACCCACACTCTCAGATAAGTAAACACAAAATACATCTGAAATACATTTGAAATACAAAGTCATTTAGTAGGGCCAGGAGGGGGAGATAACAACTCATACGAATCAGCAAAGGTCCTGGGGAGGAGGCCACCCCAAGGAGGCAGCCTTGGGGAGAAGGTGACCAAGGAGGCAGGGTCACACTCCAGGGATGAGGGATGATGACACATAGGCTTCCCAGAAACGGTCCTTGAGCACCACTGCCAAAGACACAACACTGGGCTGAATGGGCCCTGGATCTGGCTCCACGTGGTAACTCAACTTTTGTCAGTTTCTTGTTTATTTCTTTATCCAGGGCTTTTCCCTAAGAGCCGACAGTTGAGAATAAGACCCTCCTATGCTTCTGAACAGGTCCGTGTTACAGCGGGAGTTACTGTGAAACCAAAATAATAACATATCCTATGGCTAAAAGTTCAAAGAAAAAAGATCGAAACCTGGGCCTTTTAATATTTACCTAAGGAGCTAAGCCTTTGCAGAGTTAAGGACCAAAAAATCAATGTCACTGCAAAGCTTCAGGCGGACGCCAGATGGCGCCTAGGCTTTGTGGGCTCACTTTGACCTGCACTTCAGTCCAAGGTCATAGTCAGGGGCTCTTAGAATTCAGGCCTTGTGACATCTAGTGCAGTGCTTCTCAAAGCTTTTGGTCTCAAGACCCTTTTGCACTTTTGAAAAAAAATTATTGAGAACCCTTCCCAAGAGGTTTTGTTTATGTGGGTCAAATCTACCGATATTTGCCACATTAGAAATTAAAACATCTTAGTAGTATGACAAAAGTAATTTTGCCCTTAGGGTTTTCCAGGATCACGCTTTGAGACTTGCTGTCCTAGTCCAATTCTTCACATTTTTACAGATAAAGAAAATGGGGTCTTCTCAGGGGAAATGACATGCCCAAAGTCACACAGCCTCTAAGTGGGATTTGAACTCAGAGTCCCAGGAAGGCAATGTGGTACAGTGGATTTGGGTTCGAATTCCACCTCTACCACTTACTACCTGTGTGACCTCAGGAGAATGACAACCTCTCAGTCCTAGTTTTCTCAAGACTTATTTTTCT